GGGTTGGAAGATGGTGGCTCAGGAGAGTTCCTAACCCTCGTTGCCTTCCTTGCTTGGGGAGCTCACTCCATCAGGTGGCTGTGGATGCTTCTCTCAGAGAGGAGCGTGGAGACCACTGCAGCGTTTCCCAAACTCATTCAGCCATGAGACCCAAGTTACTCCCAAACACCTTGGAATAACGCTCTGTAACTAGTGTTCCCCGGCACACAGTTTGTGAAACACTCCACCAGAAGCACTTTACAAGGAGCAGTCAGGAGGTAGCCTGGGGAAGGCCATGCAGTGTGAAAAGTGGCTCCGCATAAGGCTCTGTCTAAAGCAGTCATATCAGAGGCGTTTTTCCAGCCAGCCTTCCCGGCACTGAGTCCCAGTCACGCCTCTCCTTGGCCAGGTCATGTCTCTCCTTGGCCAGGTCATTCCAGTCCTCAACCAGGTCACAGCTCTCCTTGGCCAGGTCATGCCACTCAGCCAGGTCATGCCTCTCCTTGGCCAGGTCATGCCTCTCCTCGGCCAGATCATACCACTCCTCAGCCAGGTCATGCCTCTCCTTGGCCAGGTCACGCCACTCCTTGGCCAGGTCATGCCACTCCATGACCAGGTAATGCCACTCCACCTTACAGTCCAAATGACTGATTTCCTCAGCTTCTCTAACCCAGCTTCTCTTCTGTCTGCCTTTCAGATGGGCTTCTTTCGCCGAAGGTACAAAGAAATTATTGAAGCCGAGAAGAACCGGCAAGAGAACGAAGACAATTGGGACTGGGTCCAGAAAAACCAGTGACCTGCCCCACCAGTCACATGACCCACTCATGTCATCTGTCGTCCTTGACCTTTGTATCTTCCATATTTGGAAGAAAGAATGTTCTCCAGATTTTTCGGAGGCCCACTGATGCTGTTCTCATCTTCATCCTATCCAGCCCGGGTGCCAACCTGAAGCCGCCACTTCGGCCAGGTCACGTGACTGGACCCACCACTTCCTTTTTAAAGATGAACTCTGAACTTTGGAAAGCAAGCTGCAGAGCCGAGCAATATTTATGGATGCAACGTGCGTGGTCAACCCTCAGGGGAAAACTGTTACCTAAAAGTATTTTTATAAATATAAGCCTTTTATACTGATTATGTCTTTATATTTGTATCGATGTTTTATTATTTCTATTAAATAGTTATATAATTCACTCAAAGCACTGATATCTGGCCTGGAAACACATGTACGTTCGTACAAATTTTAAAGGATAAAAATCTTACTGTTCTTTGGAACTTGCTGTTACAACAGACTCGCAGATCCAATCATGGGAGGAAACCTCGTGTCATGAACCCACCAAGCTTGTGGCTCTGCGTATGAACTGTGATTGTGGCCGGATCCCCCAAAACAGTTTTCACTCCTTTCTTGCCTGGAGTCAAGTTGGACACTAATGTGCTAAAGAACTACAAGTATATTCTCATGCGTACCTTTCCTTGGAAGATTCCCAACAGGAATTTGGATGGAAGACCCAATTCCCAGCGGCCAGCCTGCTCTGCATCACCAGCCTGCGTCTCGCCCTCCTTCCAGTGGATTAATAGGAGAATCGGAGCAACGCCAGCCGGCCATCTGGTAAACCTCAGAACGGCACTGCATCCTGGACACCGTGCATCTGAGTCTGCGCACCACAAGGACTCGATCGGTGCCCGCCCAGCAGAGACTTGTGTCGGATACTGTGATTTGTTGCCTTTGCGGGGTCCCTTGAGTTCAGAGGTCTCCAGTTCCCTAGCACGTTTGCTAATGGTAATCGCAGATTCCTTGCCAGAGATGACCATTCAACCTGTTCTTATTGTTTAAAATAGTGTCTTTGATGGGGTTCCCAAGCAGCAGACCCCAAGACAAGGATCTGCATGCAGGTAACTAATTAGGGGAGTGCTCCCAGGGAACACTGGTATGGGGGTGAGGGAACCAGGGCAAGGGAGGACACCAGGGAAAGGTTCCATGGAGGGTAGCGTTGGCCAGATCCTGCAGGGGCGCTCTGGGGGGTTAAGTTGCATCTCAGGGTTGTCCCAACCTGAGGCAAGATAGCTGAGCCTTCACACTCTTGCACCTAAGGAAGAGGTAAACTTCCCACTCTCAGTTCCTATTGGCAAAACGACTCCATAGGTCAGGGGTAGTCCGCTAAATGAGAGCTGCAGGTGCACCCGGAAGCTGGGGAGGCAAACAGACACGATGCAGTGAGATCCTAGCCTCCTCCCCCTCCTCCCTGCAGGGTTGGATGCTGAGTTACGGCCTTCACTACGCAAGCTTTCTGTTTGACAGTGTTTACTGTTGGATGGGGTGGGCTGCCCTGTATTGGTACATTGTAATTTTCTAAAAAGGGCAGTGAGATGGTGGCCCCACTGTGCTCAGCACTGTACCCGGCGCCTTTGTGAACCCTCAGGCACCGTTAGCAGCGGTGGCTGCTGTTCCCACTGCTGAAGAACCATCCGACGAGTGAGAAAACATGTGGCTCAGAGCAGGGTCTGGCCGAGAGTCCTTCATGGCTCCTGCTCAAGGCCCAGTGCATGCAGATGGGCATCCAATGCGAATGAAACAAAACAAAAAAAAAAAAAAAAAACAAGACGAAGGAGCTTTAGTGCAGGACCTTGTCTGCTGGCAGCTAACATGGTGGGGGGCTGTGACCTCTGTAGGAAAGACACAATTTAACTCAACGAGAGAGGTTTGCTAGCCAGTTGGCTAATCCTTGCAAACATCGTGAGAGCTTTGGCAAGATCACAGGGTGCTGGGCAGCTGCAAACCGGGCCTGTGATCTTTTCATTTCTTCTTCTGCATCGTCCCTGATGCAGGAAGACAAGGAATGTATCATGGTGGCTAGGGGGACAGGCAGCAGAAGCCAGAGGGTCAAGGGTAGGTGTGAGGGAGGTTGGTCCAGAGGGGATGTTGCCTCTCAGGACTGGAGGCACAGAGGTAGCTGCAGGGCAGATGGAGGCGAGGAAACCAGTTCTGGCACAGAGTTTGCCTCTGAGTTTTATCAAGAGTAATAAAGCGGTCTTCAGTGGGGCTTAGCCACTCATTCAGAGGATATTTATGGGGCCCCTGCTTTGCGTCAAGCTCTGTGCTAGGTTCTGGAAGTTCCCCAGAGAACACCGCCACGGGAGCTTTCTGCCTGCGGGGAGGCACACCCCCTGCATTTGGCATACAGAGAGTGGATTTTTTTATTTTTTATTTTATGAAACCCCATTTGCAGCTTCCCTTTGATGGGCTTTTATTGGTTGTGTCACGTTGTCCTTTAATAAATCACTTAAAATCCTTGGGCGGTAGTCCTGGGCCAGCTCCCTCAGGGGGTTGGCCAGATGCTTTTATAGCCACTCCCGCATGGGTGACTGTGCGGAAGGCAGAGGGAAAAGCCTGTTGCAATCAGGGTGGGCTCCTGGGGGTGGTGTCAGGGCCAGGCCCATTTGCTTCTGGACGGCAGACCTGCCTGAGGAGTCCCGTCCCCAGGAGGTCACTGAAACCTCATAAGGCAGCTTCAGGAAAACCATCCTCGGCAGGAGCCAATACCAGCAGACACTGGAGGAACCCGTGTGTGGGGGATGGTGCCTCTGCTTGTCTGAGGAGCAGGCGGGGCTCAGGGATGGAGAAAAGAGTCCCCACGTGGCTAGTGCTCCCACTCCACCCCAGGTCAGGAGCCCTTGCTAGGTTCCTAGGACCGTGGTCGACAAACTGTGGCTCTCAAGCCACCTACGGCTCTTTGGCCCCTTGAGTGTGGCTCTTCCACAAAATACCACGTCCTGGGTGAGTCTATGTTGAAGAAGTGGCATTAGGAGAAGTTTAAGTTTAAAAAATCTGGCTCTCCAAAGAAATTTCAGTCTTTGTCCTGTTGATAATTTGGCTCTGTGGACTAATGAGTTTGCCGACCGTAGGGGAAGCGTAGAGGGTGAGTTGTCGTGTCTGTTACTTCTCCAGAATATTCTCTTACAGTTCCACAGTGAGCTCCAATTTCTACCCTCCCCATTTCTTGGGGTTCCCTGTGGAATCTTCCAAGACGGCAATTTTCAACAGGTGTGCCTCAAGAATTTTTAAAACAAGCAATACCTGACTATTTGGTGGTGGGCACTTGGCCTCTTTTTTCTTAGATTGTCAAATCAAAAAAGTGACAACAGCCAACACAATAGCCTTCCGGTGTGGATGAATCAAAATTATACCTTTGTTGTTGTTGTTGTTGTTGTTGTTAGCTCTGCAGAAAAGATAATACGGTGTGTGGGGGTTTTTTGTTTGTTTTGGGTTTTTTTTTTCTTTTTCTTTTTTTTTTTTGTTTTTTTTTTTTTTTTGGTGTGCCACAGAATTGTAGTAATGAGCTTATGTGTGCCACGAGATAAAAAAAAAAAAAGGTTGAAAATCCCTGTTTTCCCCAACTGTCAGAAGGATGGAGGTATTGAGATGCTTTTTAAATATGAAAAAGGGCCTTTGTAGAAACTGGAGAAAAGCATGCCGCCCCCCCACCCCTTCCCAAAAGCAGTTTGCTTGTGATCCCTTTACCTGGGACTCACAGTGAGAACATCCCCACAGCGAGCCTGGCCTGGCGCAGAGAGGAGGCCGTGACGCCGAGGTGCGAGGAGGTGCCAGAAAGGCATGGGCCTTTGGCCACCTGGTGACTGACAGGCACACATCTGGAATCACTTACCTCTGAGGTCACCGAGGCTTCCCCGGGCGGGCCGTTCTTCAGGAAAATTCCACCACCGGGGCATTCTGAAACCTGGTAAACATTGCAGAAAGTCCTTCTTCACCACATCACGGGGAGCCTGCAGTCCTGGAGCCAAAGGCCGCAAGGTTAAGACAGAAAACCCGCAGGCCTTCCAGGAAACATGTGGGGCCAGTTTTCCATGCGAAGCCGAGTGGATCCCTCAGGTCGGTGGTCGGCAAACTGCGGCTCTCAGCCACATGCGGTTCTTTGGCCCCTTGAGCGTGGCTCTTCCACAAAATACCACGGCCTGGGCGAGTCTATTTTGAAGAAGTGGCGTTAGAAGAAGTTTAAGTTTAAAAAATGTGGCTCTCCCAAGACCATTCAGTCTTTGTGCTGTTGCTATTTGGCTCTGCTGACCGATGGGTTTGCCGACCGCTGCCTCAGGGGATGTGTGCTGTATTCTCCCTGGGCATCGCTCTCAGAGGGATGTGGTCAGAGGTGGTTATTGTGCTGCTTTCACTCTCGGTGAGGCTTCACGCCCAGGTGAGTGCAGTTCCGCATAGGACAGGCATGGAACATACATCTGCTGACATCTACATACATCTGACTCAAACGGCCCCAAAAGGACAGGCCCCGGGAAGGCTTCCGGTTTGGGGGAGATGGCCCTTTCGCAGACAGAAGGCAGAAAACGAGTGTCATTTTGGAAATGCTTCAATCCATGGGGTTTTCGTCAGTGTTCTGTTCTGCGATCCAGAGCGGTGACATACACGGTGGAGGGTATTTTCTGAAATGAAGAATGGCTGAAGGGAGTGTCTTCTGATTCCGAGCCACTTGCGGGGATGATGCAGGCATTTCCCATATGGTTCGATGCTTTGTAGCGCAGAGGTCTTGATGTCAGACTTTGTTTAAGGTTCGGGGTTCTTCATTCTGATGTGCATGGTGTGACTGACAGAGTGCGTTTCAAGGCTTTAAGAGTGATTCATTGCATGCGGGCACCCACGCTAACTTCACTTCCAGAACTTGATACCTTCGTGTGCCTTTCCATCAAGGCGTTTTTGGCGGGAGGGGCGTTCCCCCTCCCGAAGACACATGTATTTAAAAGTCTATGCAGTCACTTCTAATTCACTTGCACTGTTTGAGAAATGCAGGTTTACAAAAGTACATGTTTGGAATAAAAAGGAAAATGGCTGCAAATGACTCAGGAGTCTGGTCTGCAATTTCTTTGCTACTGAAGAATGTGTTCCTCTATAACAGTGTTTCCCAAACTTTTGACATATGTGTACCTCTTCTATAATTTTCATAATGCTGAGTACCCCTCGTACTCATGAGAACGTAGAATTAGGTGCAGCTAAGCACAGTGCAGTGCATATCCCCACCACACTCCGGTGCAACTCGTACCCCCACTAAACTCTTTCCGTACCCCTGGGGGTATGCATACCATACTTTGGGAAACACTGCTCTATAGGATGTTGAAGATGGGGATGTGTAGGTCCATCTGGTTGCTCTTGAACAACCCACTGAATGTGGCTGAATTGTTCCTGACCTTTGGCCTCTATTCACCTTCTCTGGGCATCACCTGCCTGCCCAGGGCCACACCTGAGACCTTGAACTTAAGGTACAAATTAAATAGAATACATCCCTCATTGTTAGTACACTGCTACCACATGCATCCACCAGTCAGTCACTAAGTATTTTCCCAGGTGCCTTTTGGCCTCGTTCTTACACATTTGCAAACATCATGTTCTTTTTTTAAAAAATATATTTCTATTGATTTCAGAGAGGAAGGAAGAGGGAGAGAGAAACGTCAATGATGAGAGAGAGATTCATCGATTGGCCACCTCCTGCATACCCCCCACTGGGGATCAAGCCTGCAAACCAGACATGTGCCCTTACCCAGAATCGAACCATGACCTGGTCTATAAATCAACACTCAACCACTGAGTCATACTGGCCAGGCCAACCATTGTGTTCTTAATGATTTTATTAAAATTTCTTTTACTCCCCTATCATTAAAATTCACACACATACACACCACACAGTATAGAGGGGGTATGAAAAGATTCACACCAAGGAGTCTTAAATGATTGTCTTTAGTGGGTGGGACTGCCAGTGTTTTTGCTTTGTTTTTGTTTTGTTTTTACTAGCCTGAATTTTAGTTTTCTTTTATAACAATGAAACACATGCAAATTATTTTTTGAAATAAAGATACATCCGGGAGTGAATGAATGACTAAGCCAAAAGAGATTCCAAATTGTAGGTCTAGAAAGGAAGAGATTTGTTTGCAGCAAAGAGCATTGATGAGCCTGACACTTAGGACAATGGTCCAGCAAGTAATTTGAAGCATATTAGTTCCAGATGCTTCCTGGCTTAACAAGACCTGCCACCGGAACTAGAGCTAATTAAATGTGCTTCTGTAAGGCAGTCCAACCTGTCTCCCTAAGCCAGAAAAGACCGGGACAAACTCAGAGGAACTGAAAGGAAGAGAATTAAGAGGAAGAAAAGTCACATTAGTGAAGTCTACCTTCATTCCATCAGGAGTTTTTCAGTCCACTAGATTACCTTGGGTCTTTAAAGCCTATCTATCCATCAGGTTACTGTGCTTAGTGATAAAATGAATGGGAGTGCGTACTTAGATCTCTGTCAACACCTTCAACCTGATTGGCAGCTGTCCATCAGCAAAGCCATCTGTCCCTGAGATTGTGCTCATTTGTTCCATGTTCACGTCCAACTAATGTGGGCATAGCAAGGCATCACCAGCTCTGGGCTGAAATCTGAGGCTGTGCCATCTGGGGCTGCTGCCAAACCTCTGCTTTGCCTCCAAGTCTAGTCGGCATCATTTTAGACTTTATTTGATATGATTCTTCTGGAATTGGGAGAAGAAAAAAAAAACTCCTAAAAGAGAGCTTCCATGATTCCGTTCCTGGCTGTGGGACAGTTACTCCTCGTTCTCTGGGCTTTTCCGTGGGATCGGTGCTTAAACTACCCAAAGTAGGCTCTGGTTTGTTGCAGCTGAGAAGCCTACCTGATCCATCCTAGTACCAGGGTGACTGACACTCACAGGCCCTCGCAGATGGGGTCTGGACTTGTTTCTCATCTGTTGAAGCCTGAAGGTAGTGAGGACTTGTGAGGGGTGAGCGGTGATGCTCCAGCAGCCCGAGGCAGGTTCTCCGAGCACCGGTTCCCTAGGATGAAGGTAAGGCTGGGGAGGGATTGCAGCCCCAGGAAAGGCAGGAGGAAGGACTGTGAGTCAGCTGGTTCCTTCTAACCTGCCAGGACGGCCTTCTGAAACAGAACAAGCAGCTCACATTCTAACGTCCTGGGTCAAGGCCAGGGCAGGGAACAAGGGACTGTCTGTGATGAGGCTAAAAGAATTTCCAGCTCACGCAGCCGCGGAACTGAGGTTGCCAGAAGTCAGGCTCAAAATCCTGTGGGTTGTCAACTTGTAAAATCCATTACGTTCACAGATTATCAGGTCCCTGTGTGAAATGCAGGGCACTGATGAGATCTGGATGAGGAACAGCGTGGGCCCAAGAATTGCAGTGGGGACACATAGGCCGTGAGCCTCCTTTGCTTCTGTTGAGTGAGGTTGTTGCTGCCCCCGACCCCCTTGAAGACCCAGAAGGCAGAGAAGCCTGTTTTCTCGCTGTTCTCACACCCCTCATCCCCTCAATGCCTTCAGATCTACAGGAAAATGCCAGGCCCACTTGGGGGTTAATCACATCATCAGACCTTAGAAGAGAAAGCGTACGCACATTCAACGTCAGCAAAGGCTGCATGGCGAGAAGGACCGGTGCCCAGCTCAGCGGCAGGGGGGGCACTGAGGTGGCCCAGCCATAGGGAGCCGCGAGGGAGGCTCCGGGAGATGCTGCTTGGCCAACAATCAATGAGAACAATTAGGCCTTAAGGGAGGAGATGCAGACAACCTGAAATGAGCTGGGGAATGGATTAGTGAGAAAGGCAAGTAAGGGGGCGAGGGGAGGGAGAGTGCACAATTACTAATTTCAGGGAAAACAAAAGTTGAAGAGCAAATGGGAACTGAAGCATTGGCCTCAAGTTCCCGCCTCCAGCATTCATGGTTGCTGAAGAAACTGCTGGTGGTCCCAGTTCTCACTGTAAGGACATCCTGGGTCAGCCCATGAGTTTCACAGCTCTCACTGTGGGACTTACTAGATCAGCACATGAGCTTCACAGCTCTCATTGTAGGACTTCTTAGATCAGCCATGATTTCACAGTTCTCACTGTAGAACATACTAGGTCAGCACATGAGTTTCACAGCTTTCACTGTAGGACATACTAGATCAGCACAAGAGTTTCACAGCTCTCACTGTAGGACATACTAGGTCAGCACATGAGTTTCACAGCTCTCACTGTAGGACATACTAGGTCAGCACATGAGTTTCTTATGAGTTTGGGTGTGGAAGTGCATCTACCCAGGGAGGGCACAGGGCTTCCCGGGTACCACCCCAGTCCTCAACCCTCAAGGCCATGTAACTAGGGTTACTAATAGTAATCATACATATAATCATGCAAATAATCATACCAGGAGTGTGATAAGGGCACGAAATGGCAGGGTTTGCCTCTTCTGGGAGACCAAGGAAGGCTTCCCTGAGAACAGAAATGCTTCAGAAGGAGAAATAAGGAGGTGAGAAAGGAGGAGATGGCGTTCCAGGCAGGGGGAACAGTTGTGCAAAGGACTCAGTAGCAGGTGGGAGCCTAGATTGTTCAAAATACTGAGGAAAGCCCAGAGGCCAGAGTACGGGAGCCAGGAGGCACAGGAAATGAGGTGAGGCATGACAGGCAGAGCCAGGATCTCCCCTAGCAGGTGACTGGAATGGCAATAGCGCTCTGCCAGCTCACACACTGGAGGGGAAGACCCGAGGTGAGGGCAGCACTAGCGACCTTGCCATCAAGAGTCTGAAATGCTCAGGGAGGAATCAAATAATCCGGCTCCCGGCTGTCCCCTGGTGGTCAGGACATGTCGGGCAGACTTCCTGACAACAGCTTTGAAAGCACGTGGGTACTTTTTGGTGTTTATGGGAACAGAACATGGAACTCCTCAGACGTCAGTGAAATAGTGCTGGGAGGCAACACTAATCAAGAAATTAAGTTAGGCAATTAGTGGGGAAAGACAAGAAGGCTAGCGCCTTTTAAGAGAACAAAAACCTACTTCCACCATCAATTTATAAAAGCAGTGTTGCAACTGGGCATTCCTTTCAAGTTGCAGAATTACGGGAAAACTAAGAATTAGGATGAACAGATCATAGAGACATGGGGCCATTCTCAGGCCCTCCAAATGTCTGTCATATCAAGGAGACCACTCTTAACCCCCAGCTAACAATGAGGGAAATGCTACTAAAGGTTGATAGGTGTCTCTGGGCAGCATTTTCTCTGCAATGCCATTGCAGTTACTAGAAACATCTGAGTTTTCAATAACCTATAAAGGCAACAGAGCCCTACTTTGATTGTAAGCTGTTTAGCATAGATTCTTTTCCATGTCTGTGTTCATGTATGTATGTGTGTGTGTGTGTGTGTGTGTGTGTGTATGAATGCTTTACTGTAGGCTCTGAGCCCATGAGTTGAAAGCACTTCATTGAGCCTAAGTCTCTTTACTCAGGCTTATCCTAAAATTTTCTGAAAATTAATACTGTTCTATCTTAAATACATGACCTTGAGCTGTGGCATACTGACTTAAAACACCAGCATTTTGCCACCAGAAATGTGACCATGTGTTGTGTTAGGTAGAAGGGTAAAGCAGGATGCCT